GCGGGGGGGCCGGGCGGCCTGGGGGTGGTGCTGCTGCTGCTGCTGCTGCTGTTGGATGTCTGTACCTCTTCGGGCAGGCACCTTCAATCCTTTTGGTTTTGTCTCCTGTCTCTAGGTGAAGATAATGACCGAGAAGGAGCTCCTAGCTGTGGCCTGTGAGCAGTTCTTGGGGAAGAATGTGCAGGATGTGAAGAATGTGGTCCTCCAGACGCTCGAGGGGCATCTGCGCTCCATCCTAGGTGCGGAGGGGCTCACACTTGAAGGCATCTTGACCAGCTTTCTCCCTTCTCTGCTGGCTGGTCCCAGCAGTGTTGCTGCCAGCACGGCAGCCACGACGGGTGCTTTTCTGCTGACTGCAGAGGTGGCACCTTAGATTGTTGCCCCCCTCCAGCAGCTCCTGCTGCGTGGCTGCGTGTTGTGATAAGTGAATTTTCAGTGCCTGCAGTAAGAGATGTCTGCGTCCCCGTGGGTTACAGGTGTGTGTGGCGGCTGAGCTTGTGAGATGAAGGTCTGGGTAGAGGATTACGCCCTTGTGCTGAGACCCGAAGAGATACGGGGCAACGATGATGTTGCTGTACTTAGGCCCACACAGTTGTGTGTTACCTGTTCCAAATAAAGTGCTTCGCCTCCCTTCCCTCTGCAGGTACCCTGACAGTGGAGCAGATCTACCAGGACAGGGATCAGTTTGCCAAGCTGGTGCGGGAGGTGGCAGCTCCCGACGTGGGCCGCATGGGTATCGAGATCCTGAGCTTCACCATCAAGGTACGCCCAGACGTTGGGCGCTGAGCGATGGGGCACGGGGCAGCGCTGCAGGAACAGCACAACAGATCTGGCTCCTCTGCTATGGCTGCCTGAAAGGCTCTGGCTGCCAGCCTGCCCCAGCCCTCCAGGAGTTTCCATGACAGCCGCCGCAGCATGTCCTGCATCCAGGCAGCTGGGAAAAGAGCTGCCTCTGTAAACACGGCTGGCTTGTGGAGAGAGCTCGCTGATAACCAGCCTCCAGGGAGTCGGAGGGAAGATGTCGGGAGAGCCCGCCTCTCCCTGTCGTGCCTCTTTGTGTTTGGCAGCAGCGCTGACGAGGCTTGCTCTAAACGCACAAGGGG